CAGTGTCACTGGCCCTCATATGTGGGATCCGAACCGGGGCCCTCTGGCATCCCAAGCGAGTTCTTAACCATCGCGCCACTCGGCCGGCCCAGGGAACCAATTTTTAAGGCAACTTAATTTGCAGTGACCATGGAGCAAGTTGCCCAGCACAGAAGGGGTGCTTAATGAGCTCTCCCCGCAATACCATGTGGGTGCCAATGGCTTAGAGAGACTACTGGCAGCCTATCACCATGACATTGACCTTTAACCACCCATTTTCTCTTTTGCAGATTGCCATGATCTCACCAGGCATAAGCTCCTGTGAATATACTTTAAACACACTAAGATATGCAGACAGGTACCAGTACCTATGGCCAGGTGGGATGGGGAGGAGGGTGTGGGAGGGGGAAAGGAATGGCAATGATGAGAGAGGGGAGGAGGCTCCGGGGCCTCAGTGCCTACTGTCTGCTCTTCTGCGATTCAGGGAATCTGAGGCTTGGGAGTTCAGACATGATGCTAGAAGGTCTGTCCCCATCCCCTTGAGGCCTTGGTGGAGAGTCAACGTGCACAAGGGGCTTCTGGGCCAAAGGCAAAGCTGCCACCCCATCCCCTTGAAGCCTCAAACCTTGGAGTCTAAGTGGTGCAGTACTCTTGTGAGTGCCAAGGAGGTTGCTATGGGATCTGAGATTTTCTTGTTTCCTCAGGGTCAAGGAGCTAAGCCCCCACAGTGGGCCCAGTGGGGAGCAGCCAACTCAAATGGAAACTGAGGAGATGGAAGCCAGCTCTGATGGAGCCCTGATCACAGGCGATGTAAGGAGCAGGGTGGGCTCAGGCAAGACAGAAACATGGCCTGCTGAGATGGGAACTGGGCCATACCATCGTGTCACTCCTTTTGGCTCCCTTAGTTCTCCAAGGAAGAGGAGGAACTGTCTTCCCAGATGTCCAGCTTTAATGAAGCCATGACTCAGATCAGGGAGCTGGAAGAGAGGGCCATGGAAGAGCTCAAGGAGATTATACAGGTGGGGAGCTGGTGTGGCCCAGGGAGGGACTGGCTATCCACCTATCGCAGGCCCTCAGCTGTGCTCAGCACCATTCCTTGAATGTGACCTGGACTTTGTCCCCGTAGGTCTTCAGGTTGGCATGACTAGAGGCAGCCCTCTACACTAGCATTCCTTAATTCTCCGCCTATTCATCCAGCTGTTCTTTTCAGGCATCTAATTACCACACCCACTTCTCCAGCCTGGCACACACAGGCTTTCCTCCATCCTCCTGGCCTGAGCTAGTCTCTCTCCTCCGTGCTCCTGATTGAGGGTTTTGGAGGGTCATTTATATGCAGGGCCCTTGTCTTGTTATTCAGTGATTGTTTGGTGAGTACTTTCTATGTGCTAGCTCCTATACTGAGATCAAGGACCAAAAGCATGAGATACGGATAGTAGGCCCTAAAGTAAAACTTAATCCTAATTTTTCTATTTACAAGCTATTTTCCTTTGAAACTCATTTAGTCTCACTGGGCCTCAGTTTCTTTATCCCTAAAATAAATAAGACAGGATACTTTTGTCTGAGAATTAAGTAATATGCTATTCAAATCCTCAGCATCACCCAGCCTGTGGTGAGCGTTTAGTAAATGGTAGGTGCTAGCACTGCCATGATCCCTACTATGGAAGCAGGGTGGGGGCTCAAAAGTTCGTCCTAACAATAAGGTCTCCAGTGAAAAGCAGAAAGGAAGAGCATGGGGTGCTTAGAACTGAGGAGAGAATGTGAAGGATAAGTGCTTAGGCATGTCTCTGGGAATGCTCAGGGGTACAGATGTTTTAAAAGGACATGACACTTGCAGGAAGAAGAAGTTCATTCTAGTTGAGCAAAAGGTGTGACAGATGATGGAGGGCGATTAAGGCTGGATAGATCAGCAGGGATCTGATGCTAAAACGTCCTATGGTTCATCCCAGAGGCCTGGACTTCGTTATGAGGGCAGTGGATGCCTTTGAGGAGAGTTAAGTGGAGTGGTGCCATGGTCACATCAGAGATTTGGGTACATCACTGTAGCCACAGAGTGGAGCCTGGTTTGGGGATGAGGGGAGTGTATGAGTAGAGGCAGTTAGGAGTTAAGAGCAGTTAGGAGATTGTTAGAAAGAGTTCAAGAGAGATGTTCATGCCTAGACTAAGTGTGGCAATGGCCATGGGATTGGAGTGAGTGCATGAGATTCAACAACCACTTAAAGGGGGCCGGCCAAGTGGCTCAGTTGGTTAAGAGCTCGCGCAAGAGTGCGAGCTCTGAGCAACAGCGGTTCGATGCCCAGCCCGAGCTGAGTTGCCACTGAGCTGCCAACAGGTAGCAGGATGGCTCAGCTAAAAAAATAAAAAAAATAAAAAAATAAAAAACCACTTAAAGGGCCGGCCGAGTGGCACATTGGTTAAGAGCTGGCTTGGGATGCCAGAGGGCCCCGGTTCGGATCCCACATATGAGGGCCAGTGACACTGCC